GTTGGCGTTTAAAATTAGAAACACTAAAGTTCACTGTCTTTTGAAATTATTAACAGTTTCTTTAAGACTTTTACAATTTCTTATGTGATCAGTTGATTAGTGAGTTTAATGCTAGCTTGCTTATGGTAAACTATCTAAGTTGCAAAGAAAAAAAAATATTAAAATCAATACATTGTTAAAGATAGTGTCAAGTAGTTATGAATACCTATTCAGATTTATGTGTAAAAAGACTATAAGAAGTAAAAAAAAAATAAAATACTAAACAAAGAAATAGATGCAAAAAAACTAATTATAAGACTAAAAATACTCTGAATAAGTGTGCTATGTTGATAGTTCTATTTAACTAAGATATGATATATGTATACCCATCACAAATGGCCAGGCTACTATTTAAAGTATACAGTAGTGTTGATAATATATTTCTTTGATAGTTGATTTGTTATGATAATTGTATTGTTGTTTTGTTAATACGATTAGTAGTTGGTTTGTTTGTTGATAGTATAATTGGTTTGTTTGTTGATAATGTGATTTTGTTTTAATAGTTATTGCTAAAAAAGATTTTGTTTATGTTGATTAGTAGATAGTATTTTGATAGTATAGATTTGTTTGAATAATTGGTAGTGTTTGATTGGTTGGTTTTGAGATGTTAATCAATTGATAAGAATAAATTGATTGTGGTTTTTTTGTGAAAATTTTTTTAGAAAAAAGTTTTGTAGTTTTTGTGATATAGCAAATTATGCTAGGCAATAGTTAGAAATAAACAATGAATATATCACTGGTCCTCCAAGTCAATAATATAAATATTTTTAATGTGTGGTTTGATTTTTTGGTTTGCAAAGAAGATCTTTAAAAAAAAATATGGTTGTTTAATAAGAAATATATATTTGTAAGAAGTGAAAATAAAAAGAACCCCAAGGAAGATTTATAAAAAAGTAACTGCCATGGGCCTTTCCTTATGCAATCCAAAGAAAAAGCAAGGTTTTTAAACTTGCTTTCCTTTGGTCAAAGATCCAATCCTGATGCATTAATATATATCTTTAGTTTTCTTGAGATCTTGTAGTGAAGATAAAAAATGTATGAAGAACTTTAAAAAGTTAAAAGGTAAGAAAAATATTTGTTTTTTTAATTTTGAAAAATAATTACTAAAAAAAGAAAAATTTTTTAAAAAAAAGCAATATATGGAAAAAGTTTTTATTTTATTAATAATATACTATAGATTTCTATTTTTAAAAATTAAAATTATTTATATAAATTCAAATTAAATATTTATATAAATTTTTCAAGAAGTTAAAATTAAAAATAAAAAATAAAAATTGTAATATTTTAATTATAAAAATATATTTATTAAATATTAACTTAAAATTAAAACTAACAATATATTATTTATTTAATTTAACTATACTATTTTATTTTTCTTATATAATAAATATATAATTTGCAAGTCAAGTCAAGCTTTTAAAATTTTAACTCGAATTTAATTTATATTATAAAAATAAAACTTGAGTTCAACTTTTTCAAGTTTTGTATTGAGTTAGCTTAAATTAAATTAATTTTTTTGAAATTCTAGATAAATAACTTTTTAAAAATTTTTTAAATAAATATAAACTTTATTTATTTATTTTGTTAAAATTACAAAATTATAATAAAATAATAATTTAAAATAAAAGTTAACTATATTATTTAAGAACTAAAATTTTAAAATTTATTTTTTAAAAAAATTAATATTTATTTTTCTTAATTATATCTAAAGAGTTCAAATTTAAAAACTCTTAAATAATATAATATATAAAAAAAAAAACTCTTTCCTACTTCCCTTTTACACTTGAAAATTTTCTTTTTAGAAAATTTTTGAGTTGTTTATTTTTTTTTTTATTTTTTTTTTTCCCTTTTTCTTTATGTTTATTTTCCTATATCCCTTTATTTTCTTTTCTCTATCTTTTCCTCTCTTTTTTATATACTTTCTTTTACCTTATATCATCCCTTCCCTCTTTCTTCTTCTTTTTCCTTATTAAAGCTAGGTTTTTTCTTTTTCCTGAAGGTTTTGTTTTCTAGGTCCCTTTTTCTTTTGAAACTTTGTTTCCATAACATCACTTTCTGATCAGTCGACTTTCTCTTTCCAAGAACTATATTAAAAAGCAGTAACCTTTCTTAGAATATGGGCTTTAGGAAATTTTTTTTCTTCTATGATCTCTCAAAAAAAGAACAGACAGTTTATTCTCTCCAAAAGATCAATATAATTATCATTATCAAACTTGATATTGTTTACTGATTAGCAGTTAAACTAGATATATCTAAGAAATCTCTATACAACTATTATTATCTGAAAGTATTCAAGAAGTTGCATTTCACAATATCTAGAGTGAAATGGCAACTAATACCAATGCAACTAGCAATAAGCTAGGTTAATTGCAAGTGTTATGCTGATGATTAAGAAACTTAGTAGGGTAATACATAATGTCCAGGGATTCTAGTTATCTTCAAAAATGAACTGGTGATAATAACAAAAGTTCTTCACTTATTCCTTGAACAATGTAGATCTATTATACAAGATTAGGTTCTAGTACCATTAAAAAAACCAATATGAACTCGACCTATAGGACATTTCTGCCATACTTGAAGCATAGATGTGTCAAATTCTTTTTGTACTTGAAGGCAAAACTGTATAAAGTGGCTGCAGTATCTTTATGCAAAAAGGTATTCACTTCCCATCATCTCCAATATTACTCTGCTTGTTATATATCAAGTTATATTTGGAAAGCAGATATGCCAATTCTAATCATAACTTTGAGGCCAACCTGTATAAATTGGCTGCAGCACCTTCATGTGATTAGGTATTTATTTATTTCTAGGTAGTTAGATACCATTTAAGACAATAATATAGATTTTTGAATTACTTTTTTTCTGTATTTCTTGAATAGTGCTAAAAGAGTACAGGGATCAGGTCCCATATGGAAGCCTTATATTAAACTCTTCTTAACAAAGAGAGACATATGTTGTACTATTGAGTATTGTACCTTGCTTTGCAAGTAAAAGTATAATAAATATAATAAAGCATGATAGCCTTTTGCTCTTTTCAAAAAAAAAAAAAAACTTTTAAATTATTAATATTATATAGTAATAGCTTAATAAATGGTTTTTTTTTATAATCAGATAATTAGTAAATAACTAAATAATATAAATAACATAATAATTTTAATATTAAGAATTCAAAGATTATATACAAATTTATAGAAAACTTAATAACAAATATTTTGTTACATAAAAATAGTTTAGTATTGTATTATTGTTATTTAAAAAGATTAATAAATATCAATTAGAAATATATATAATTTTCTAATAAATATAAATCATAAAACCTATTAATTAGATAAATAATTATTGTATACATAAATAATACAACATAAATAATTAACTCAAAGCAAATATAAACTATATTTTTAAAAGAATTAACTGATTTTATATAGCAAATAATTTTCAAATTAAAAAGCTTAGCAAAATTTATTGAAAGTTAAATAAAAACATATTATAAAGTTGAATTTTAAATATTACTCTACATTTTTAGATATTTAATTAGATAGTAAAGACAAAACAAAAATACTATCTATTAAACAATTCTATTAAATCTGAAAATAAAATCAATTATAGACAAATATAAATTTTATTATTCAAATATAAAAATTTTAAACTAGGTAATACATCTGCTCATACAGAATAGCAAAATAATATAAAATACACTTATCATAATAAAAATTAAAATACTGCTTACAACTCTGACCTAAAATTTTTGATTAATAATCGAAAATAATTTGTAGTTAAAACGAATAATACAAGATGAATTGTCATAGCTCAAGAGTTTTTTATCATTGAATTAAAAACATGCCTCATCATATAAAAGCTATTATTAAGATCAAGAAAGAGGCGATGTGATTGAATTTTAGTTATAATATATAAAAAGAATATATCACATAAATTCTAAATTGCATACTGTACTTTTTACTATAACCTTGCTTAATGAAATATGTCATTTTAAATTTTTTTATCCGTAATTTGAAAAAAGACAAGAAATGAAGGAAGAAAGAGATCAGACTTCGTTGAAATCACAGATAAAGTAGGAAATCGAATGAAGAAGTCAATCATTGTGAGAGAACAAAGATTTAGACAACGTTTATTCGTAAATAAATATATTAATGAAGTGTTATATAAATACGAAGGTTTTTTTTGTCAGAGGTGTCAATGACTGAACAATCTTTTTTGAACCAAGGTATAAACAATGAATTTATTTATTGTTATGTAATATTTTAATTGTTGTTTGTTATTTAGATGTTTCAGGGAGATGAACTATCATCACAGAGAAATCCGATTCTACTAGATACAAATATTTCGCATTTTCAAAAAATAATAATCCTTCGGTGTACTCAATTCAACGTAAAAAATAACAAGTTATTGGATATTGTCGTATTTCAGAATGCTTGGTCCGATGCATTTCGTAATACAAATAGTGCCATCAATCATAATGGCTTAATTGCGTTATATAAGGCAGGATTAGAAAGAACCGATTATAATATTCCGAATTTTGCCAGGAATTTAAAAAAGTATAAAAATCCGTACTCCACTCAAGATTTATTTGATGCAGCAAAGGATGTGGATGCTTATTGTGATTTTATTTCTAACGGTTATAATAATGTTGGAACAAGATGGAATCAAGTTCATAAGATTGAACAGATATGTGATTATTTAGGAATTACCAAAAAAGGAAGTGTTGATTTGATGTTGGACAACATATTATTAGGTTTAAGAAATGGGGAAAATTCAGCTGATAAGCATAATAATGCGATTTAATTCAATTTGCAAAAAGATATATAAATCCCTTAGGTCGTTACCTATTATTATTATTATAGTAATAAATATGTATAGATATAAATTTTTATTGATAATTGATATCTAAATAATATAATATAATATTACTATTTATAACTTTTAATACTATCTAATCAGATTCCTAACAATATTACTTTAATGTTATTTCAATATCAGTTTGATACTTAAATTATTATAAATTTATATAAATGTGTCACAATTCATATATTAAATTTATTATAGATTGATATTATTTTAATATTACTTTGATATTAGTTTGCTATTTTTTTGAAGTCCTATTATTTAATAATTATTATTATTATTTTTTTTTTTTTAAATTGGCTAAGGGCATTAGATGCACGACGTTTATTAATCATTCGATTTGTAGTCAGTACATCAAGTATCTTTACAAAGTAGGCTATTGCTATCCTAAATGCAAATT